GTCAACAAGGAATGTTGACTGTTGACTTTGACCATGGTTGACCAAGTTTTACTTCAAGGGTATTTTGGTAATTTAGGTTTTGATAGAATTGGTCCTATGATGATTATATGTGTTTGAGTTTGGAGTTGTGATTCGGGAGCTTGATTCTTTCAGTTCAGTTCGACATTGTGAGGTGAGTTCTTCTCACTATATCAACAGGGTCTAAGGCACCAAGGTCGGCCCTTTTTGGATTGTATCATGGTTATATGATGATGTTATGTTAGTGATCTGTTAGATATATATCTTGGTTATAGGATGATGTTATGTTAGTGATCTGTTAGATCGGTATCTAGGTATATAGGATGATGTTATGATTAGTGATCTGTTAGATCTATATGACTATCTGTACATGCTAGCTAGCGTATGATATTTATGTGTTGATTGTGTGATTGGGGGTGGGTTGAGGCGGTCCTGCTTTGTGCTCTAGGCCAACATACCCAAGGCGGCCCGGATATAATGCAGACTCGGTAGGGCGTACTAGTCAGGCCGAAGGCCCAGAGAACGGTCCAGACATGCTGAAGGCCTGGAAGGGCGGACCAGACATCCCGAAGGTTCTGTGAGTGGGCCAGATAGACTGAAGGCACGATGAGGGTGGTCCAGTCATACTGAAGGCTCTGAGAGTGGAACAGGTAGACAAAAGGCCCGGTGAGGGCGAACCAGTCGTACTGTAGACTATATATATATATATACATATATATATATATATATATATATATATATATATGCGTGATGTTTGCTATGATATTGTTTTGATTGTATGGCGTTGGTATTTTGGGGGAACTCACTAAGCTTCGGGCTTACAGTTGTTGATTTTGTTTCAGGTACTTCAGATGATCGCGGGAGGCGAAGGCGTGATCGTGCACCTCCTCACATTTTATGATTTTGATTTTTGGGATACTTTGATAAGAAACTATTTTGAAAACAATTTGTAGTAACTATTGGTTTTTGAATGCATTAAAAAGTTTTAAATTGGCATGATTTTTATGGATGTTACAGGACGTTTGATCAAGGTTTATAATTTTTTCTTGCAGAGTTAGTGGGTTGATTGTCGTCTTGAACTTCCTTGCTTCTGTCTTGGATGGTTCATGTTGGTTTAGTTTCTTCTCCAGGGATAATGTCGGCCCATGAGATTTATTTGTACATGTTTTTCCCATCGGAGGGATTTCCTTCCAAGGGTTTGTGCTAGCCTTAGGAATTGACTGAGAGTGCTTCCTACTCGCTTTGAATGATTCTCTTTTTTTGCTAAGCGGGAGTTTACTTGTACCTAGCCAAAGTTCTTTGGATTTTTCCTAGGAGTTCAGACTCGCGAGCTCGAGGCTCATCTTTCCTTCGAGTCCTTAGCCTATATTTTTAGGCTAAGGCCTTGGCTGGTCCCTTCTTGTGAATCTAGAGTGGCCCGCTCTGTTAGTGTACTCTTTTTACCTAGAGTTTTCTAGTTACCCTTTTAGTACTTTGCTCTAAGTCTTGGGCCGAGGGGTGTTGCACTCTGGCCTGGTAATCTAAGCCAAGCCGAGATCGTCACCTCGAGGGGTTTAGGACTTAGGTACTTTTGTGTCAAGGGAAAGGTTGTGAGCCATTTAAGCGTTTATTCATGTTGCGGTAAAAGGTCGTAGGCCTTTGAATTAGACTGAAATGTTTTAGGGAAAGTTTATGAGCCTTTGAACCCTATTGGTTGCATTCACGCATCGATTTCGCTCAAGTGATGTGGATGATCAGTCCTTGTTATCACTTGGTAAATGTGCACAACCTCTTATTGAGATAACTCAAGCTTGAATATTAAAGAACATCTTTTAACTATCTGTAAAGTGTGGGATCCACAATATTTTTTTTATGTATCATTTTTCCTTACTTTGGTTTATTGTCGGCTGGAAAGAAACACAAAAGATAACATTGTTGTATCATCTTTATGTCCAACTTGTACAAACCATGTACGGTAAACAAATGGGTGTGATTTTTCAGATATGTTGCTATGCTCTTTCTTTCTTTCTTTTTGTTTGATCAGAAAGACATATGTACACCATTTTTGTACATTTTATTACCCTTTGTACAACCATGAGTTGTAAAATTGTCCAACTTTTGAGGTTGGGTTTTATCTGATGTATTTTGGTGAAAATAAAATGAACAACAACAGATTTATGGGATTTTTTAGATGGGTTTTAGAATGTACAAACACCATAGCAATATTTATGAGCATATGATGCATAAAACATCAAATATTCATGAAAACTTCAACTAAAAAGAGTTTTCTGGGAATGAGAATTGGTAAAGGTATAGAAGTTTATAAAAATTTCTTTCTTCCCCAGTTTCTGACTAAATCACGAAAATGAACTAATAAGACAGACAAAAAATTCTTTTCTCCTCAACTTTATGAATAAGTTACCAAAATACAAAGGATAACTGATTTGAGAAACTTTTCTTGTGCTTTAAAAACATTTTGATGAGCTAAAAATGGGTTTTGTTGGTCATGTAAACTGGAAATGGTATGAGAACTTGTGAAAACCTTTGTTCTCTCCAAGTTGTTGGATGAAGCACCAAAATATGAACAAAGAGTGGGTAAAAAGCTTGTAAAAACTTATTTTGTTCCCAACTTGCTGAACAACTCGCCAAAGCATGAACGAAAATGGATCTGAGAAGATCTTTGCCAGCTTGGACAATATTCAAATGAGCAAGAAATAGAGCATATCTAGAGATCTGAAGGAAGAGACGAAACAGATCTAAAGATCTGAACATGTAGGAAACAGATCTGAACAAGTCTTGGCGAGAGACAAATGGATCTGAACAGATGATGATAGAAATGAACGTATCTGAGCAACCCGAAGGTGAAAACGCATCAGATCTGAACGGATCGGAGGTGAAACTGAGGCTAAGACCAAGAGACGACAGCTATTCGTTCTTGGTCCCACGGATGGCGCCAACTGTTGTGACGTCTCACCGGGTTTTCGGGTCTTGAGTCTTGGATCAGGGTCGGAGATCCAGGTCTGATGTCGTCTGCGTATTCCCGACTTTATATCTAGCAAGAACCACAACAGATCGTTAGAGTTGCTCCGGGGCCGGAGCCCCGGAAGCAAGCTCCGACGATCAAGTCAGATCAATAAAGATGATGAACGGGTTATATGTTTATCCATGGCGGCTGTGTGAAGGTTGAAAGAGAGAAAAGAGAGGCCCCTTAGGGTTTTCTTTTAGGAGAGAGAAGAAGATCGCTCAAAAAGGTGGGGACATGTTCTATTTATAGGGGACCATTAGGTCAGAAGGGAAATTATGTCTTTTCCTCTTGGAATTAGGTTAAAGGGAGATTAGGTCAGGCCTTGGGCACATCCGGTTCAGGCCCAGCTAGCAAGGAGCTCGGCCAGGCCTCCAGGGGTCGTCAGTCGAGCGCCCGGAGGCCGTCAGTCGAGCACCCGAAGGTCGCCAGATAAGGCTGTCGCTCCAGATCTTGAGGTCTGGACCATGCTAAATGGGTCATGCCTTAACAGTAAACGGTGAAAGAGCTTCTACAATTAGGAAAAGATTTAAAAAAAATCTAGATAACTACTACAATTTACCAAATAATTAACGACATTGTAGTGATATAAAAAAAGAAAGGACAACCCAAAGATAATAGGGGTTGTTCATGCAGGTGTCGTTGGATAATGGATATGAGGTCTGAAAGTGGATGTTTGGGATTGATTAGAGTCAAAGCTAAAATAATGATAAAACAGTCGTCGGGGGAGGAAGGGAGTGGTTGTGGGTGTATAGTGTAATGGGATATGAGTTTTAAGAGAGACATGATGTATGCTTTGAGGGATATCGAAAGATTAGCGTTATACGTCTGGTTCAAGGTTGGAAGCAGGGGTGGAAGGTGCTTTATGGTACTTACTTGGGTAAGTGGGCACTTGGAGTCGGTTGATACTAACCCGGGTTGTGGATTTGTCATCATCGACGTTGCTGCCATTGTTTTCGATGAAGTTGTAACGTTCACCTACAAAAACATACTATATATACACATATACATCTTTATATAGTATATACAAATGTTTTAAAAACCAATTAAAATCGGTCGGGCGAACCAGTCGGACCAGGAATCGGGGAAGGGAGTAGTTCAACTAGCACCGATTTTATGTCTATTTCTAGACCGAAACGAATCGACCGAATTTTACAAATACCTGGTTGAACTGGTTAAATTGAATTGGTTGAAACGATTAAACCAAATAAAAACATATGTAAATGAAGTATATTGCATAACAAACGTCGACGGTCTTTCCACATCTATTTATGTTTCTTTTAAAGTTAATAAAAACACATAAAAAATTTTATGCGCTTGTATTCATCCAAAACTATATTTTTTTCGTTATTATATTTTTTTATGTATATGAATTGATGTAAAATTTATGATTATGTGTTAATTTATTTGTAATAATTACAATTTCTTTTTATATGTATTTTTAATGTTTGAATTTGTTTTTATGTGTATTTTTAATGTTTGAATTTGTTTGTGTGTTAAAAAAGAAAAAAACAAACCATGAAAATTTTAAAAACCGGGTTGACCAGTCAGTCGAACCAGTTAAATCGGAAACCGGCTGTCACTATACCGGTTTAACTAAAAAATCGATTTTTAAAACATTATTACTAATACTAAGAGCATGTTAGTATTTAAATAATTATTTCATATGTCACGACGAAATTGTGAAGTGCAATTGCTAAGAGGTCAAACAAGTTATCTTTAGTTTTTTAACACATAAATAAAGATGCAACAAACATAAAACTTGGACTATTTTTATAACATTAAGCATATTTTCTACTATTGAACTGCTACAGACGAGAATCTAGAAATTCTCTCTTATAATTTGTATTGTTCTCATATATGACAAAAACCCAATTCAACAACTTCTTTCCATTGTCTCCAAAGCTAGTGAGGTTTTATCATTGTTCAACGTCCAAGATCAATACTAGTGGTAGACATCGTAGCGCCACCAGAACTCATTTCAGGGGCATCTGCTTCGGTGTAGTACACGGGTATCGGCATCTTTAATGGAACTTTTTGGGACTGCTGCCTCCAACTTCAGTACATGAATTGCTTGTCTTATCGATGGTCGCATACTGCGGTCAGGATGTGAACACCATAACCCCACCATCATCAAACGCTCAACTTCTGCAATATCAAATTCCTTGTTCAACGTCGGGTCAACATATGAAAGCAGTTCACCCTTTTCGAATAAACCCCAGACCCACTGCACCAACCCTAGATAAGAACTTGGGTCAACTTTATCGGTTGCCTTTCGCCCACAAGCTATCTCTAATGCAACCACCCCAAAACTGTACACATCTGACTCTTTACTAGCCTTCCCTGTTGTTACGTACTCAGGGCAAATGTAACCGAGAGTTCCGGCTAAAGCGGTTGTTTGTAGACCATGTTCATGGTCCATATGTCTAGCCAATCCGAAGTCTCCGAGCTTCACATTAAATCCTGAATCAAGCATGATGTTGCTAGATTTGATATCTCGATGCACCACACAACGTTCACATTCTTCTTGGAGATATAACAATGCAGAAGCTAAACCCAGAGCGATCTTGTACCTTACTGTCCATGGAAGGGTGCTCTTTTTGAAGAAAAGATGAGAGTCAAGGCTTCCATTTGGCAAAAACTCGTACACAAGCAAGAACTGAGTTTGATCATGGCACCAACCGATGAGTTGAACCAGGTTTCGATGCCTTAAACTGCTAATTATTTTCACTTCGGTTATGTACTCCTTCTTTCCCTGTCTTGAACCCTGTGATATTTTCTTGACAGCAACTACCATTCCTTCACGGGATAAGTAGCCTTTGTAGACACATCCGAATCCTCCCTCGCCTAACTTCAGGTCATCGGAGAAGTTGTTGGTAGCCAAAATAAGATCGTTGTATGAAAATCCTTTGGGTCCTGCACCCCTTTCAAGATCGTCGTTTATGGATGGCAACCCATCTTTATCTAGCGATTTTTTAATACGCTTATTTTCTCTGCTCCAAAATATAGCGCATGTTACTAGACCTCCTACAGCTACAAAACTCAAAGGAACTGCTAACCCCACTGCTAGTTTCATTTTCTTTGACGTATCTTCTTTTTTATCAACTATATTCAGGCTTGAATTGAACTCCCAGTATTGAAGGATATGTCTCTCCATTGCTCTGCCAGTGGCAGCGGAAAATCCAATTGTTACCCACTCAGGAAGAACTTCCCTTAAGTCAACTTGATATGAAAAGACTCGTATTCAAGGTTGATATGAACTTCCCATTGCGCCAAGAGAGACTCAGCATCTGTGTGGTAGCATTGTGAGAAACCCAAGCATCAGCAGGATCCCCGCTGTGCAAACTGGAATTCCAAGGACTGAAAGCAACAGAACCAAGCCAGTTCTTGTTGATACCCACATGTTCGAATGGAGGATCCCATCTGTCTGGGTAGGAATCAAACTCAACGAAAAGTATTTTGTTTAACGAGGAGTTAGGGTAACTTGAGTTGAACAGGCCTAAATAGCCAGCACCTGAGTTAGGTGGGATTTCGAAGCCAACTGGGGCAAGAAAGAAAGTGAACCCATGGCCAGAATCTTTTGGAGGTTGTGTCTCAATGATGAAAGTGAAGTGAGTGATGAAATCTGTGAGCTTCTCGGATTTGCTGTCCCATATCTGGACTGCATTTGGGTATTTCACATGGCCAACACGATAGAGGCTATTATTGACTTTGTTGAACTGGATGTTTCCACGAGAAGTTTTGGCATCACCTGAACATAGTACACTAGTTTGGTCGTCAGGAAACTCAGTGAACTCGAAGTAGACTGATTTAGACAAGGGCAAGAAGAGTAAAGAAGAACAGACTAAGAGAATGAAGCATGAATTTTGAACACCTTGAGTTGACGAAGACCAGAAAAAGATAGCCATGATTGAGTGAAGGCAGAGGCAAACATATTGGTTAAATACCAACATCTAGTACCTAAAATATTGATGTTAATGGCTATTGGTCTACAATTCTACATCCAGATCTTCAAGTTTCAACTAACTCCTTAGTTTTTTATGTATATAATATACTATCTTAACATTCAACTAGAGTACTAGACGGCAATATAAATAAATTAAGTAGTAAAGGACCGACAAAAATTCCTTACTTATCTCGGATTCTCCTACAACTTCATTCACATGCTACCAGTTAATTAGCGCCATGGTTCCGGTTAGAAAAGATTTTAATTTTATTTTTCTACAATATTTTATTGTAAGTTGTAAAATAAGGAGTGAATACGTGCCTAGCTAAAATTCTATGCTTAATTGGTTCGGCGATTTGAGTGTAGGGCCGACGGATCGACCAGAGAAAAGTTGGACTTCAGCCCAAAAAATGTTGAGGTAGCCTTGCCCAACAACCATGGTCTGTCTCACCTTTGCTGTCGTCAACAGCCCAAATGTGAGAGGCCTAGGTACATAAACAAAAACAATGGTTTTGAATGGGTCCCAAAAAAACACCAAGACCGAACAGGTACAAAACAAGACCGGTCCAAAAAAAATTTGGACCGGCCCGAAAAAAGAACGGATCTTTTCGAGACCAGTCTCAAAAACGATCGACTGTTGTGAGACCAACGCGAGATCGGTCCAAGACCAACTCAAGACTAGTTTAAAAAAAGATGGGAAACGAATGATTATATACATATAACTTTTGTGTTAGTTATACACTTTTAGCAACACAAGAAAAATGGTTATTAGCGGCGACAACTACTATTAATGGAAACGAAAGACTAGTATATCATTTTTATTAAATCTTAATGTATCATTTTGGTGTTAATGACATATTTATTAAATGAGAAAATTTGAAACCGAAAGATAATGAAACCGGACCAAAAAAACCTAGAAACTGAACTGAAAAAGACGCACGCAAAGAGCACGAGACCGCACTGAAAAAGGCCGAGACCGGTCCCAGAAAAACCAGATCGAAAAAGACCCGTCTAACCAGAAATAAAATGTTGGTCCAAAAAAAACAGACCATTTCCGAAACCGGTGAAAAAGACAAGAAATAAAATGTTGGTCCAAAACAAAACGGACCATTCTGAAACCGGTCCTAGAAACACCGGACCATCCGAAAGCGAACCGAGATCGGTCTGGGAGTGCCAATGTGCATTTTAGAAGAGGCTATGAGGGCGTTAAGAGTGGCAAAGTGGGCAGCTGCATATGACCTAATTTTTTTCACTATATCTTTTTATTTAAAAATAAAAAATTATAATAAAGATAAGGGCATCATTTATCCATACCATCTTTATACTTATCACTACCCTTAATGATTATTTTATAATAATTAAATTATGTGACATACTTTTTACTAATTAATATTACTTTTAATAATTAAGTTATGATGATATACTTTTACTAACATATTTATAATTAATAGTTTATTTAATATATGGATAATTAATATTTATAAATCTATTTACTAAAATATTTATTTATTTTATTTATTCCATAAATATGTTATTAAAAAAATACTATTGTAATATTCTATGATTACTGAAAACTAAAATGACTAATTTTTACGGCACACAAATAATAAAAAAAAGGTATGTAAGTAATAGTTTTCTATAAATTTTAGATAATTATTAATCGTTTATAATAATTTATGGTTTTTATAAAAACTATTAAATAATATTTTAATAAATAGTTTATAATAGTTTTCTTTAAAAATTATTATAAAACTTGGTAAGTAAAAAAAATATTATAAATTATTCCATAGATGATGATCTACGGTAAATAAAAAAGATTATTTATTTTATTTGTGTAATCTATTAAAAAAGCTATTAGGAAAATTAGTGTTTTTGTGAAAAAAAAAATACATAAATTAAGTTAAATAATTTTTTGATAAAAATTTGATGTTTATTTTTTTTTAAATAAATCAATATACGTAGAAAAAATATAAATAGATGGACATAAAATGTCATATCTTCATCCGTCGACTAAAGTTACGTCTTTTTCTCTTCTTCTATCTACGACAATGATGGCTTCAGACGAGCTTAACACGTCGACTAATAGTTTTTTTAATATGTAAATAATTATTACTCTCTCCGTCCCAAAATTATTGTCCACCTTACTATTTTAGTTTGTCCCAAAATTATTGTCCACTACCAAAAATAGATTACACTTTTACCATATTACCCCTACATTATAAAGAAACTTGATAATTACAAAAACACATTTCCCATTGGTTTTAGAAAATGGCAAGATGGTCATTTTACTCAAAAAGACAAAACTAATGATTGATTTTCTTAATTTATGTGTTTTTTTGTCTGTGGACAATAATTTTGGAACAGATGGAGTATTTATAAATCTATTTACTAAAATATTATTTATTTTATTTATTCTATAGATAATTTATTAACACTATTTTATTATAAAAATTGATATTTTTATTAAAAAAGAATAAATAAATAAATAAATTATATTAAATAATGTTTTGATAAAAAAAAAAGTTGATGTTTTTTGTTAAAATAAATGAATATATATAGAAACTATAAAAGATATAAATATAAGGGTATAAAATGTCATACTTTTAAAATATTAAAAGATAGATTGTTATTTTAAAGTTCTATTACTTCAAGATTAAGTTTAGAACGAAAAAAAAAGTTATAAATACCCACAAATTGTATATGATATTATATATATATATATATATATATATATATATATATATATATATATATATATATAATATATATATAAACCGGTGGGTTTAAACATATAAAAAAACAAAAAATAAAAATAAAAATAGAAGCCACAAGTAAGTTTTATGGAGGTCAATAAAAAAATTAAAAATTGTGAACAATACCCATCCGTGCATTTTTATGGTCAATGATTAGTCCTAAATTTGAAAAAAACTAAAAAAGAAAAAATGGAAGTCACTGGTAAAAAGAAAAAAAAATAGGAGAGTCAGTTGTATTAATTGGCTCAAAAGTCTATTATCATACAGGTGTGTAGTAAAGACCAAAGGGCTTGTAGCCCAACGGTATCAGATGGTGCCCTCTCTCTTTGAGGTCGAGGGTTAAGTCCCGTCATGGACATAGATGAAATAGGTGTTATTAGCTTACGAGTAGATTAAATTTGCCGGTTAAAAGAAAAAAAAAAGTGTGCAGTAAAGTTACCAAACTCTTAATAATTAAGGTGGTAAGGTTATAAAATATGGGGTATTAATAACGTATCCCTAAAGATAAATGTCTTTTTTTTTGTTGGTCTTAAGCCTTTGAGATTATTTAATTTTTCAGGACCTGAAAGACGCCCTCTACTCTTGAGTTCCCCAACAAGCGAAGGTAGTTCAGAAGTAGCCTAGGACGTACAATTGCCCTAGTGCTAGTAGCGGCCACCCCATCTCAAAATAAACAAAGATAATTAAACTGAGAAGAACCGCCATACTTCTTCTCTCCACCCGCCTTATCCTCATCACCAATCTTCTCACCTACATTTTCACCACCATCCTCATAAACATGCCACACTGCATCTTCACATGTTTCGTTCAACTCATCTTCACATGTTTCCTTCAATTCATCTTCCTTCTTTTTCTCTATCTTTTTCCTCTTAACCTTACCCATTGTCTTCTTTCCAGAAACTACTCCACATATCTGCCAAATGATTATCCAGGGACTCTTGGCATGCTTCCACGACCCAACCATCTTGATTAAGAGCCTCAACATCCTTTGCCATCTTCGAATGAGCTTGTCAAATAGCTACAACAGCCTCCATTGGTGATTTTCTTGGCATCCTCCTCAGGTTTTACCAAAAAATCCTTTTCAATGAAGTCGTCAACCAAGGTTTTGGTGGCCTTGGAGTGAGAATTCTTTTGGGCCATTGCGAGAAAAAGATAATGAAGAAAGATAGTAAACGAATCTACCTAAGGCCAGCGGATCATGGTTTTGAAAACCGAACCGGATCGGCTGGTTCAACCGAGAACCAGTCAGGGTACCGGTTTTATAAAGCCTGAAAACCGCTTGTAATTAAACCAGTTAAGAACCAGCAGTTCAACCACAAACCAGTAAAAACCAAGCTGCTCAAACTGGAAAAAAACTGGCCAAAAATTTTCATTTATAAAATTTAAACTACAAAATTGTTCAGGACACCCACACCTTACTGAGGTAGATACGATGTTCGCTTTTCGAAAAGTCTATGACTACTATGGGTGTTCATGGTCCGGTTTGAAACCGTGAAACCGGCCAAACCGGTCATCGGTTTGGTTTTACGGTTTGTATTTTCTTTACGGTTTGGCTTGCGGTTTTGAACTTTTCAAACCGTATTGAACGGTTTGGCTTACGGTTTTTAAGATTTCAATCCGTATAAAAACCGGACCGGACCGTAGGATTTGCATATATATATTAATTATTATTTTTATATATAATTAATTTTTATTGTATTATATATTAATTTTTATGTAAAAATAATAAATTTAAAAACCCACATTATATTGAATTATTACAGCCCAATATTGAACTGGGCCAGTAGTTCACCTCCAGGCTCCAGCTCCAAGCAATCGTTCAACGGTGATTCACTGATTCAACTTGCCCTAATCGACTAATCGCAAATCGCAAAGAGCCAAATACGCAGACTCGGCTTCCACTTTCCAGTTGCCACACCGGTGCACCACTCGTTTTCCCTCCGAGGCTCCGACTTGCAGGCCAACAGCTCGTCGCCTACCCTGCAGCAGCTCCGATTCTACCTCTCATTTCTCTATCGTTGGCTACTTGGTTGGATTGTTACTCCGATAAGGTATGTTGTGTTCTTAATCAACTGAACTGATTTGTTTATCATCCATCTACACCTGATTTCTATCCATCCATCACCTCTCCTATCATTGTGCGTTTGATTTTTTTTAACAGAAGCCAACATCGGACGAAACAAAAGTAGAAAGTAGTTGATTTTTTATTTCTTTCTAAATCTGTTGCTAACTGCTTGGCTCCGACTACAGGCCTCCCCTGCAGCTCCGATTGTTGCTCCGATAAGGTCCGTTTGGCGATTCTAGCTCCGATAGTGTGTTTGATTTTTTTTAACAGTAGCAAACATCGGATGAAACCTGTTGATTTTTTATTTCTTTCTAAAACCTGTTGCTAACTGGTAAGACTCATCATCTCTTAATCTTTTCTTTCAGGTCCTTACATGTGCGTTTGATTTTTTATTTTCTTTCTGAATTTTGCTTGCACTTTTTTATTTCAGGTCCTTACATGGATACAGATAACATCAATATTCCAAGTAGTGAACTTGTGAACATCATTGATGTTGATGATGATATGGAAGAGATTGATGTAGATGATGATGTTCATGTGGAGCAAAATGGAGGTGCTACTGATAAGAACCAAGGAAGGGGACGAAATGCAAGCGCTTATATGCACACAAAATTGGACTCGGAGTGTGTTTAACAAAAATGCAAAAGTTGGTTATGAAGATGTGTTGAAAGAAATTGAAGACCTTGATGAAATTGAAAATGGTAAGTTTTAAATTTTCAAAAGTTATATATTTTCTCATACTTATTATTTCTAAATTCTAACAAAATATAACTTGTATTTTAGATTTTGCAAGCAAACTTAATATTTGCACCGACAATATCGAATGAAATGTACATTTCTTCTCTTGGTTTTATATTGAACTTTTGGTGTGATGTTTTAATATTGACTTTTTTGGACAGCAAAAGCTTATGAATTGGATAGAATTTTGGAAGTGGATTTTGTAAGCGATCTTGCTGATAATGCTTTTTGGATAACAGTTTTGCTGTTTTCGACAGCTTAGTAGGATGTGTGTATTAGTCTAATATTTGATGTAATGGAACAATATTTGATATTTTCATTTACTGCTTTTTATTTGCTGTTTGGACAACTTTTTGGTAGTTTTCTTGCTGTTTTTGACAATTTTACTATTGTAGTATTTTCAACAAACAGTGCAGTTTTTTTTTTTGACTAAATTAGGCAGAATTTTGAATGTTTTAATACCTTAAACGGTGCAGTTTTTTTATTTAACTGTTTTAATACCTTTAATAGTGCAGTTTTTTATTGTTTTAATACCTCTAATATTGTAGCTTTAATATTACGTAGAATTTTTACTGTTTTAATACATGTAATAGTGCAGTTTTTTTTACTAAATAAGTTTAATGGACTCGACTAAAATGGGCCTAAAAAGCCCAAACCGTGAAACCAAACCGGAGCCTAACCGTTAGTAACGGTTTGGTTTGGTTCGGTTTTAAATTTTCAATGGTTCGGCTTTGGTTTTTGCTTGACAAAAACCATTAGTAACGGTTTGGCTCCGGTTTGACCTAAAAACCGAAAAAACCGGACCGTGAACACCCCTAATGACTACATTAGTTTTATAATGCTCTCTAAGGTCTCCACTTTTGTTTTTTGTCGATGTGGGATAAACCTAAAGATCAATTTGAGGACTCCTCTTCTACATTCAACAAAAGCTATTTCTTTTTTTTTTTTACTTTTTTCATTACTTTAATAACAAAATTTTGAGAAAGACATAAATTATTAGAATTAGTATTTTGGAAGGCGTTGTTTCAATTTAAAAGTCCAAAAATAATGTTTTTATTATTATTATTATTATTATTATTATTATATATATATATATATATATATATATATATATATATATATATATATATATATATATATATATAACGTCGTCCGGTTCATCCGGTTTTTAGGACCGGTCTGACCGTTCGAACCAATTGAACCATCAACCCAGTAAAACGACCGGTTTGATGTCCGGTCCGGTTTTCAAAACATTGTAGCGGATGATCTACCAAGGAAGATGAGGGTTTTTTCAAAGTGGGAGCATCCCCAAATCAATGTATAGCGGGAGTTGACTGCAAACCTCAGGAATACAAGGGCACAAACGACAACGTTTTGGCCATTGATATAAAAGTCGTGACTTATCAATATCCTATCATATTTGTTTTTTGAATTTTTAATTCTTTTAAAATCTGATTTTAAGGTAAAGCCTAGACTTCAATGGTAATTGTTATGGATGAAAATTATTCTAAACCTTATGTAGGATTTGGGATAACATGTGGAACAAGATATTGAGTAACATCTTGCTCAAGATGTTAAAGACTAGTAACTAAATCGTTTTTTTATCTCTATTTGTCCATATCTCTAATTCAGGTGTTGAATGTGTCAATCAAGACACAGATGTGGTGAATGTGTCAATCAAGACACAGTCAACTCGGAATCTCCTCAAGAAACAAACAACAGGTGGAAAAAGATCTAGTCACCAAGAATCTTGGATTTGAAGATAATGTTGAGATTTTAGCAATATTGTTAATAGTTGTTAATAATGATGATGTATATAAATAGGAAGCTAGTCTCGCACATGTGCACACACGAATACACTCGGATTTACTTGTAATCAACAACAAAACTCTCATCATTTTGTATTCTTTTCGGTTGATCAATAAGATAAACAAAGGTAGCATGACTATTTTAACTCTCGAGGTTTTATGTCAGCGATCTTAGTTAACATCAAAAGTTTTCCTCATAATCCCAGTGTCTAGCATTTCCCATTACATTTCGACCACAACCACATCCTTCTACTAAATTGGGTTTGATTCCCACTTAAAAACAACATTTTTGCATAAAATTTCTTCATGAAGAAATAATTTGAAATTTTTTCTCAACAAATTTTAAGACCAAAGTTTTCTGACAGATTAAGTTTTTTGTTTTTTTGAATTCTAAGATGTAATATCTCCTAAATCCACAAATGTTTTCAAACGAATTAGTTTTATCATCCAGAAAAAACTGGCGACGTAGCTTGTTGTCCGATTGCCTTATATCGATATGTATTGAACTATATATTAGAAAATAAATATCATCAAACATGTTTTATATAAAAAGATGTAACAAAAATATTTTGTATCATTGTATTATGATATGAAATAAAATTACGAAAATATGTATCTTTTATATTTTAATTGAATTACTGTTTGAGAAAGACAAATTATTAGAATTAGTATTTTGGAAGGTGTTGTTTCAATTTAAAAGTCCAAAAATAATGTTATTATTATTATTATTATTATTATTATTATTATTATATATATATGACATCGCCCGGTTCATCCGGTTTTTAGGACCGGTCCGACCGGTCGAACCAATTGAATCATCAACCCGATAAGACGACCGGTTCGATGTCCAGTCCGGTTTTCAAAACATTGCAGCGGATGATCTACCAAGGAAGATGAGGGTTTTTTCAAATAGGGAGCATCCCCAAATCAATGTATAGCGGGAGTTGATTGCAAACCTCAGGAATACAAGGGCACAAACGACAACGTTTTGGCCATTGATATAAAAGCCGTGACTTATCAATATCCTACCAGATTTATTTTTGAATTTTTAATTCTTTTAAAATCTTATTTTAGGGTAAAGCCTAGACTTTAATGGTAATTGTTATGGATGAAAATTATTCTAAAACCTTATGTAGGATTTGGGATAACATGTCGAACAAGATATTGAGTAACATCTTGCTCAAGATGTTAAAGACTATTAACTAAATCGTTTTTTTATCTCTATTTGTCCATCTCTTCTAATTCAGGTGTTGAATGTGTCAATCAAGACACATAGGTGTTGAATGTGTCAATCAAGACACAGTCAACTCGGAATTTCATCAAGAAACAACATGAGGAAAAAGATCTAGTCACCAAGAATCTTGGATTTGAAGATAATGTTGAGATTTTAGCAATATTGTTAATAGTCGTTAATAATGATGATGTATAAATAGGAAGCTAGTCTCACACATGTGCACACACGAATACACTCAGATTTACTTGTAATCAACAACAAAACTCTCATCATTTTGTATTCTTTTCGGTTGATCAATAAGATAAACAAAGGTAGCCCGACTCTTTTAACTCTTGAGGTTTTATGTCAGAGATCTTAGTTAACATCAAAAGTTTTCCTCCTAATCCAACTGTCTAGCATTTCCCATTACATTTCGACCACAACACCACATCCTTCTACTAAATTGGGTTTGATTCCCACTTAAAAACAACCTTTTTGCATAAAATTTCTTCATGAAGAAATAATTTGAAATTTTTTCTCAACAAATTTTAAGACAAAAGTTTTTTGCATAAAATTTCTTCATGAAGAAATAATTTGAAATTTTTTCTCAACAAATTTTAAGACAAAAGTTTTCTGAAAGAATAAGTTTTTTTTTTTGAATTCTAAGATGTAATATCTCCTAAATTCACAGATGTTTTCAAACGAATTAGTTTTGTCATCCAGAAAAAGCTAGCGACGTAGCTTGTTGTCCGTTTGCCTTATATCGATATGTATTGAACTATATATTAGAAAATAAATATCATCAAACATGTTTTATATAAAAAGATAGCAACAAAAATATTTTGTATCATTATATTATGAAATGAAATAAAATAAAATTACGAAAATATGTATCTTTTATATTTTAATTGAATTACTGTTTGGGTCTAAAATTAAACAAATACACATGGCCCAAAAATAGTCACGGCCGACCCTTAGTATTAGTTTTTGGTTCTTACACATTGAACAAAGTAACATCACATTTTACCAAAGGAAATAAAAATTGGTTGTAAATATCACGACAATTGCTTACTTATAAAACATTAATTCTTTTAGCGGAAAGGTCATAGTAGAATTGTTCAATGATAAATTGATGTGAAAGTTTACAAGTATTGTGATAACGATCGAAGTATTAAAGAATTTTAATAGATAGCATTGAAGAAGCCGACTCCCATAAACAATATGAGGTAAAGCATATAATGATCGTGTTGAACTGTTGATTCTTAGTTGATCTAAAATTTATTTAATATATGTAAAATGAATGACGTGTATCATTGTGAGATACGTCACTGCTACAAAATGTATTATAGGACTCACCAAATAGGACACGGTTTTGAGATACGTAACTGCTACAAAATGTATTATAGGACTCAGAAATTCGTGTTTTTGTAAAAATGATTAAATTATATACATATTAAAAAGCTTTTGCCTTATGAACAGTAAAAGGTTGGGTCGTGGCTCATATTGTTTTTTGTTGTTGGCTCTGATTTTGGCGTTGGCTTCCTGGTTTTTGCTCTTCAGTCGGATTGCTTTTAGAGGTGTGCTTTTAGGGACACCATCTTTTGTCTACTGTTGTTTTCAATAACGAATTGTCGCTTCAAGAACCTACACCAAAGAAAAGCCTACACGCTATCTCTAATGTTTTGGTTCGCCGTTTCTAACCTCCCTTTCTCCATTCAGTTTTGATTAACAAAGTTGTGGTATAGGCATATAGCTCAAACAGGTTGGATCAAAAAAGGAGCGAAACATCAACCCATAAATCCTTGAAAATCATAAAACCCCACGTCAGATCTTGAGAAATCTATTTAAATTTTGACGAATCGAGAGAATTTTGA